GATTAATTTTACCTATATGTAGAAAATGCTACATTTACATCACATCATGGATCACATATTGATCAGATGCTGCTGCTGCTCCATTTTTGTATTTTCCCTGCAAGTTAGCAAAGCCTTTTTTCTTCCCAATTGTAAATCTTAATATTCAAATATTGTTTGAATAACTTAAAAATAGGATTCAGACAAAAAAAAATCAATGAGTTATCCTGATTAGGATTAGATTGATGATATCAGTATGATCCAGGTATCAAAAATAAATAAATCAGGAATCTGAAAATGTGCAAATTTGACTTAATCTTCAGTTTGATGTGATGGGTCACATTTAAACTCATGGTAATTTAGCCATTCCACTGTGGAAAAAAAAGGGATTCAAATAAATAAACAAGCCCCCAACCCCCAAATTATTTTTGGCATTCATAACCATAAAGATGACTGGATATAAGCTTCTGAATACAACTCTAAATCTTAAAATGTTTTCATACCTTTTAAAATCTGAGTCACGGTCCTCATAGTTTCCACGTGTTTATCATAATAAACCTGGTGTTCCAACTTCGCTTGTTTTAGTTTTTCAAGCTGACTGCTGTTGATGAAGCCCACCAGATCCTCTCCAGTCTCCTCCAAGTCTTGAAATTTATCACACTGAATCATTGCGGACAGCTAGAAAACAATAAAACACACCCGATTAACTCAGCTTCAAATACAAGTTTGATATCTGCTAAACCGTGACAGACTGTGAAGTGAARCAATACAACTATTAAAAATGTATGTTCAAAATGTTTATGCACTACTGCTGCACTTTTTACCAACATAAACAAGACAATGTCAAGAGGCACATTTTATAATCGTATTGTTTATAACCCGTAAAGGTCTGCGAACAAAGTTTGAGATAACACATGAATTTATAAGAACTATAAAATATTTGAATAACTTAMAATGCTTCAAAAGACTAACAGAAAACATACCGACTTAGCTTTATCTGTGATTCAAATTTAGAGCTAACTTCCGCGCGCCTGGTGTTTTCTTCTTCTTTGGTGTTTGGCGGACTTCTCCAGCTCATGATAATCTYCTTTACTGCCCCCTGCTGATGAAAGCTTGTTTGTACAGCGATCTATTTTTATCTTTTCTGTTTTAATCTTGGGAACAAAGAAAAACACGTTATTTTAACCTAATTTTAAGGGTTAAAATGGCCTGCCTCATATTAATAATAATAGCTACTCTTACTTATTTTCAAAATATACATTTAAATAAAAATAT